GCGTAGTTACGACGAGTATTTGCAATCTTCACTCTGAACTTCCCGTTAAGGTAAAGTTCGGTTTGGATTCATGAAGATGACCTTCTCACGTGATCTCAAGTGCTCCGGAAGGGTAAGCAGATCCTGCTCCACATGTGGCACCCTTCGTGTTGCTCATGTTAGTACAAACCCGGTAATAAGTCTAATTCGGTAGGAAAATGCCGTTCTTAGACCAAAGTCTTGAAAATGTGATAAAAATGAAAAATTTCCAAAGAATTGTTACATAAATTCAAAGCACATTTATGTAGAAAGATATTCAAGATGCTTTTACAAAAATCCGCTTCGTTTATCTTTTGAAACAAAAAAGTTAAGTATGTCTTTCTAAAGGATAGAAATGTCCAAGTAACCGAAATTTCCAGTTAATGTCTAAAATTTCGATCCAATGTATCTCTAAAAGTAGCAAATGAGAGTATATTTTTTGTTACATATTTGAATTGACTAGGAAAAAAATAGCTTGTTTGCAAACTTTCGTCAAAAATTCACCGTGGGATCAAAACTATATCGTATGCCCTTAATCGCGTACTTACGACGAGTATTTGCAATCTTCACTCTGAACTTCCCGTTAAGGTAAAGTTCGGTTTGGATTCATGAAGAAGACCTTCTCACGTGATCTCAAGTGCTCCGGAAGGGTAAGCAGATCCTGCTCCACATGTGGCACCCGTCGTGTTGCTCATGTTAGTACAAACCCGGTAATAAGTCTAATTCGGTAGAAAAATGCCGTTCTTTGACTAAAATCTTGAAAATGTGATAAAAATGAAAAATTTCCAAAGAATTGTTACACAAATTCAAAGCACATTTATGTAGAGTAGATATTCCAGATGCTTTTACAAAAATCCGCTTGCATTTATCCTTTGAAACAAAAAAGTTAAGTATGTCTTTCCATAGGATAGAAATGTCCAAGTAACCGAAATTTCCAGTAAATGTCTAAAATTTCGACCAAATTTATCTCTAAAAGTAGCACATGAAGGTATATTTTTTATTACATATTTGAATTGACTAGGTAAAACATAGCTTGTATGCAAACTTTCGTCAAAAAGTCACCGTGGTATCATAACTGTATCGTATGTCCTTAATCGCGTACTTACGACGAGTATTTGCAATCTTCACTCTGAACTTCCCGTTAAGGTAAAGTTCGGTTTGGATTCATGAAGAAGACGCTTCTCACGTGACTTCAACTTCTTAGGTTTTTGTTTTGGTTTGTGTTGATCAATCTTAGTTTTTTCGAATATAGGTTTTTGGTTATCGTTTTCTTCTCTTTTTTTCCCCTTTCAATTCAATACAGATTTGTAGATATGATTCCATTCTTCACTTGTGTTGCAATGTCAAGAAATGTGATCTTAGAGGCAGAGATTTTATAGATGAATGTTATTGAGGGATGGGCGCCGTTGGCATGTTGAATGAACACATTAAGTTTTTGTTCAGTATTATCCCACTGCATGTCAATTTGTCGATGAATCGAAACCAAGAGAGAGGTTGAGAAAGAGAAGTATTGAAAATTGGCTGTTCTAATTTGTCCATAAAATATTGGCATATGACGGGGCCATCTTTGTTCCCATTGCTGTTCCGTCAACCTGGAGATAATGTTCACCATTGAATGTGAAGTTATTTCATTTTAATACCAAAGGTTAGAAGCTGGACTAAACATTCAGTTGGTGGGTGTAAGGTGCTGCGAGAGTTCCAGACTTCTCTACAGGCTTAAATATCATCTTCATGGGGATGTAAGTATAGGGAGAGGTTACATCTAGCGATACAAGGATTGTTTCAGGTGGTCTTTAATGAAAGTTAATAAATTCTGATATCTTGTCTGTAGGGTGGTCACTGGTAGAAACTATTGGTCTACCTGGATAATGGACTTTGTCTATTTTGGTTTGGGCAGAAAATAGAAACATTTTTGTTTTTCCAGGTGTTATGAATTCAAATTTGTCTGCATCTATATGATCCTGTTCACATCTGATTTTCAAGTCTGTGGTAACTTTTTTTTGTGACTTCAGGAGTTGGGTTGCAGTCTAATTTCTTATAAAATCTTCATAAGAAAGTTGGCGTTCTGTCTCCTAAATAATCACATATGTCCATGACGATAACAGCGCTGCCTTTATCTCCCGGTTTCAAGGGATTACCCTTATTATGAGAGTAAAATTTCAATCGCTTGAGTTCTTATGTAAACCAATTAAGAGATTTGATAATAAAGAAAAGAATAAAGACAAAGCAAATCAAATCAAATGTCAAGAAAAACTTGCAAAAGAAAACACAATTATATATAGATCTATATACATGTGAATGCATGATAAATAAATTTACGATACTTTGTGACAAGAAAAACACAACTGATCTGCAAGGTATACCATCTACTTGCCACACAAGCCGAAGAAAGGCACTACTCGACTAATAAAACCTATATTTTATATACAATAGATGGCCGGGTGATATAGGGCGCACTAAGCAGTGCATGCAATGTTGAAACAATGTAACAGAAGCATCAAATCCAACTGAGGTAAGAACAAAAATGTTCTTTCGCAAATTTGCAGATCTAACAGAGGCTAAATTTAAGACGAAGTATATATAAGAAGTGAAATTAGCCATGTATTAACCATCGGTTATCCGATGGAAAACCTCTGTCGTAAAGTTGTCACGTATTTAGACATATATAATTCAATTGACGTGACTGCACGATAAGTAAATAATCATCCTTTACGACAGACAAACAAAGCAGATTTGCAAGGTAAACCATTTACCTGCCACAATACATCATACTCTGTGTTACAACCCTTGATAAAACCGACGAGGAAAGGCACACTCGACTAACGAAAGCTATATTTTCATATAGTCTAGTTTGCCCAGTTGTTTAGGGCGCCGAACACAGTGCAGGTGGTGTTGCCACGATGTAACAGAATCAGGAGTTCGGATCCCAATGAGGGAAGAACAGACATTTTTTAACGCATATTTTCAGATCTAACATTGTTATGCTAAATCTAAGACGAAATATATATATACATTGTGATGTTATCCAAGTAAATCCAAAGGTAATCCGTTGGAGAATCTACATATCAATGAAGTAAATAATCCTTGGTTCAGTGGATGTATATTCCCAATTTTTTACATTTTTACCTATTATGTCTTGTTGCAGTTCAGTGTTTCTGTTGTTCAGCGATATACTACTGTTGCCTTTATTTGTTCTGCTCACACATTGTTGTCAAAAAATTGAATTTTACGCAACTGTCAAACAAGTGGGAGGTTTTGCTAACAATGAAACCAGGTTTATTCCACCATTTTCTACATAAGGAAATGCCCGAACCAAGTCAGCAATATGACAGTTGTTTTCCATTCTTTTGAGGTGTTTGAGCTTTTGATTTTGCCATTTGTTAAGGGACTTTCCGTTTTGAATTTTCATTTTTTTCCTCGGTATTTTTGTTATTTTATAATAATTTTCATAATAAATTCAGAAAAACACATGTCAGTTACATAATGTTACTTTATTATTTGTTAGCTCTTTCTGTCATGTTTGGCTCTTCATACAGAATGAATGAAAGTTATCGATAACAACAATTACGTTGTATCAACTTAAAGCTGAAGCGGTTAACTATATACAAGGAACGTTACAGTCTTCCAGTATCATTTCCATGGCAAAAATATTAACATCTTTTAAAAGATCAATTTACGTTTGATAAAATGTAATTTGTGGTATCATAATTTATCATTTCAGCATTCTTTTTCCCTTTAAATGTTCAACTGATTACTTTTATTTTAATTGTAAGTTTAATAGAAGACTTCATATAGGAGTTTTTCAGGGTAGAATGAAAAGAAGCTAGCATCTCTCTTTAACTTCACGTTCCACTATGTAAATGATGTCCTCTCACTAAGTTACTAACTACTTGAAACTAGTTAAGAATACAAATTATAATTGCATACCAGTTGTATGTCTGTGCTTGCTATGACTTTATTATGTTGTTCTCTGTTTATTTTAATTATTGTCACTATATATATTATGCTATTTTGCTGTAACATTATGCAATAAAATATTCATTCATTCATCTGTTCATTCACTTGATAGTTCAAAGTTCGGTGACTTAGTTGAACGCATCTATCCAATCGAAGTTGAAATAAAAGATTCCACAGAGATACAGTTTAGTCTGCCTCATATCTTGACTTACATAAAGAAATTGACAATGAGCGTCGGTTGAGAACAACACTTTACGACAAAAGGGAGGTGATTTCAGCTTTCCAATTGTTAACTTTTCATTTCTATGTAGCAAATTGCAACAGCACTTGCATATAGAGTATATACTGCTGATACGATATCCCAGAGCTTGCGTTTCCTATCATAATTTCCTTGATAAAGAGTTGCTGCTTACAATGAAGTTTGAACGAAGGGTTGCTAGTGATAAAGTTGAAGTCAATCCTTTGAATGTTGAATATCGGTGTCACAGATTGCCACGAATATGTTACAACTGTCGTAAGAAGAACAACGTCCCTTTTTCTTCATGAGCACAATCCCGTCCTTTTTTCTTTGATTGTGGCATCACTAGATTAAACTTATAACCGTATTTGTTATTACCATCAGCACCTAGAAGACTACCACATGTGGAGCAGTACCTGCTCACCCTCCCAGAGCACCGGGTATTCCCCCGTTCTTGGGTGGGGTTCGTGTTGCTCAGTCTTTAGTTTTCCATGTAGTGTTTTGTAAGTATTGTGAAGCAAGAAGTTGTTTTAAATGCACCCGGACTATCAATTGTTGATACCTGATAGACACACTTATTAAATTAGTTTTAAGTATCAATGCGAAAATATTCAACTATGTTTGAAACTTAGAAGGTAAATTCAAACAATTTGATTGGACGAGGAGTTAATTGTAAACATGTGCTAATAATAATAAATTTTATCTTCAAGTATCAACACATTTTATTTGTATCAGTACTATCCTACCAACTTGTAATTTAGCCAGTTTTCAGAAAATCGATTACCTGTATTTAAACCACGGTAATTGATGACTAATGCATACGTCACAACAACGAATGTGCAACTTGAAAGGTAAGAAGGAATTAATGTATATATGTATAACAATAGCCAGTTATAATTATTATAATGATAATAATAATAATTATAATAATAATAATTATATCATATAAATAATAATAGAAACAAGTTTGATATATTTTACCATTATGAAATGTAAATTGATTCTCAACAATTTCATTGACGAACACTGAAGTCCAATGGAGTACAACATGCAAACACTGCGAGCAATCAAATAAAGAATTGTTCTGTTTTATAATAGCGAAATAATTGTATTGGAACATAACTTTATACAAAGGACTAATTATCATTTGTGTGACAGCCTGTATTGTAACACAACGGTCCAATGATAAAACAAATCGGGTTTTTATCTCCATTCGCGTAATAATTATACATTTGCACCAATTTATAGGTAAACACAACTCATGAGAAACATAATTAATATAGAATTTATTGATACTATTACAGAAAATACCCCTTCATCTGTTATCTACTTCCTGCTCACAGCGGGGAGGTGGAAGTAGTATTTCGAGCAGGATACGTTTTGTATGAATATCACACGTCAATTAGCACTCTTTAAATACAAAGAATGCAATTTGAAATATATATGTACAAGTCCGTTATGGTGTATTATTTGTAAGCTACACTTATAATACACTATACTTCTAAAACATGTAGTGTCGCCTCTACCATACATCTTGTACTTTTAAAGAACAAAGATGATTTTTTCCTGTTTTCTTACGGATGATGGCATTTCAAGAGATCTGATTTTGACGTTTGTTGTTGCTTAGATTTTCTTTATAACATCCATAGAAATGTAAATGTTCAGATTGTGCAAATAAAGCAACACACTTTCCATCAGATTGTGCCTCAGTCATAATTTCCTCCGCAAAGCAATCCTCTATTTCATCTGTGTGGCAGGCCGAAAAACTGAGATAACCATTTGTCAGTTTCACTTGACTTCTCATTGAAATCTCTTCTGAGCCCAGCTGTTATTTCCAACTGTTTGATCTTTTCGCAACTAGTTGTGTGCGAGATAAAAACGACAGCACTCTAGTTTAGATGAATGGAATTCATTAATTTAAACGTTGCACATTGCTTGTGAAGTGATGTTGGATTCAAAGCGTGCTGACTACAGATTAAGTTCCACATAATACGGTAACAATTGTAATCTTTTAATTTACTGACCAAAGTGCATTAATAAGGGATATATAGTTACCATTTTGCATCCCTGTATGGGAATAAAAAATATTAAGGACATCACTTGAAAGTTCCATCAATAAATATTTCTGTAATACCACTGCTCAATCTTTCCAAATTGACATGGCTTGATAAAATAATTATTTCGTTGTCAAGGTCATATTCATTCACCAGCAAGAAGAATAAATATATATATCCAAGCAATGTTAGATCTGCAAATTTGCGAACTTTTGTCTTTCCCTCAGCGGGATTTGAATCCATGCTTTTGAAACATCGGGGCAATTCCGCCTGCACTGTGTCCAACCACCTAGACCACTAGGCCAACTAGACTATACCATATAGCTTTCGTTAGTCGAGTGATTACTTTCCTCGTCAGCTCCACCTAGGTTTATAATATAGTTCATAATGTATGGTGGCATGTCAGTCGTGAAGGACGATAAATACGTGGACTTACCATGCAGTCACATCAATATGTATTTATTATATATGTCTAAATATGATGACAACTCTAAGACTGATATTATACATCGGATATCCAAGGGTAATATAGTGCTAACACCACAATTTACCTATTCTTCGTCTCAAATAGATTTTGGATAAAAAGTTAAAAACTTTGACACGAAATGAAATCAATTAATTTCAGCGAAGTTCAAATTGTGGAATGTCAACCACAGCATCTGGATGTGTTGATTCCTTTGGATGCATGTATACATACGCCGAGTCTAATATTGTAATATTGTAAAAACTTCATTTGCATGAACTTACAGATTCTAGAATTATACAAGTCTCACATTTCTACAATCGTTGTATGGTTTTTCATTTGCCTTCAAGATTTTTGCAATCAGCATACTAGATTTACGCCTTTTTACATCAGGCTGTTCATACTGAAGAAGGATATCTGTTTTTCGAAATATCTATTGATATTTGTATATAATCAACTTTCTTCGTTGCAAGTTTTGTTATTGTACACTTTTTAAACGTATATACTTAAACTATCTATTGTGTGACAGTATCATTTTTCATACCGATACAACGCCCTCGTAAAAAAGATGATTGACTATTATTTAGACGTTTTATACATATATAAAATGATATCTTGGTCAGCTGTATATCATTGAACGGTATATTTGGTATAGCATATGCTTATGAATATAAACGTATAGTGTAAAACCATTAGGATATATATTGTCTCAATTTTGTTTTCCAGATATGTAATATTATAAGTACTAACACCGGCAATTTCAGGCATGAGATAACAAACTCTTAAAAACTGGATTTAAAATTAAATACATATAGCCATAATGATTAAACAACAAAAAATACAGATGTGCATTAATGTACTATTTGAGAGACAATATTAACTATAATCTATCAATACTTGAGTTCAACGTAATCAGTTATATAAATACCATAAGACCATGACTATGTGACGGTGTATTCACCTTTATCCGCATTCTTGACAAATTCCGATATCTTATATATGATTATTTTCTCATAGCTGCAGTACAATCAGTTATTTAGTGTTGTAATCATGACTTTATAACAAATAAGGCATCATGAAATCAATCAATAATTTGCATGTTTTATCGGTTTTAAACCAGTTTGAAATACAAAAAAAAAAGAAAGAAAATAAAAGTATAAATTCTTATTCAATCAAGATTATCCTGGCAAAAACGTAATGCAATTTTGAACAAAAAGAAAAGACTATTTTGTTTAAATCGATGTCCATTCTTTTTGAAAAGGAATCATTCAAATGGATATTAATGATTTGTAGAGCCAACAGTGACATTTGCATGGTAATTTTTTTGTTAAATCGTATGATAGATATGCACAGAATGTCGCCCTAGTTGCAGAAAAGTGGAAAATATCACTAACGATTTGATGTGAGCTCTTGCCATCACTTAGCGTCCGTTGTTGTCGTAAACTATTTAAAAAATCTTCTCCTCTGAAACGAACGTCCCAAATGTTGCTCAACTTCACCTGAAAGTTTCTTATTGTAACTTATTTCAAAATTATATCCGGGGATTTGATCCATCGACAAACATGGCCGCTGTTGCTAAAAATAGAACATGGAGGGTAAAATGCAGTAGTTGGCGTATATCTCAAAAAGGTATAATTGTTGCCGAATTTTCAGATAAATTAGACAATCTGTTTTGGAATTATTGCCCATGAAATGTATTTTATTTCAAATTTCGCAGTTTTTGGTTATTATCTTGAAAACGTTAACAGATAGAGGAAAATTTTAAAACACTAAAAATGACCAGAACAATACGATCAACAAATAAGTCAACTTGGCAGAAATCGTCAATTGACCCATTATAGGAGTTATTGCCTTCAAATGATGATGTTTACCCTTTTTGCATTTTTTTTTTAGGTTTTAGGTAACTATAGTTGACAGAGAGAATCTTTCGATAATAAAAGTGTTCAACAAAAAATTATCTACAAATAAGCCAACATGGACAAATCGTTAATTGTCCTTGAAAGACTAATTTCAATCTTTTTTCTTCTTTTCTTCAAGGCAGAACAGACATAATTATATTTGTGATCTTTTTATCTTTCTACACCCCTTTTGTACACCGTTTTTGCATTTTAAGGTTTGAGAATTGCGTGTTCATCACTACATGTGTATTTTGAATAAATCATCAGCATTATCTTCATAATCAGTTTTAATCTATTCTTTTGTATGAAATGTGTTTTTTTCGTTTTGATTTCAATTTCATGCATCAACATCAGCTAGACACATATTTCAACATACTTTGGTCTTAAGAAATAAAGTTTAATGATGAACATTGTACATCTGTAACATTTTCTGGGGACTATTCCAAATGTTCTCTTGGTTTTGCAATGCATTTATTTTTAATTTGAACTCTCAAATAAATGTATGATCACAGCTTGAATTCTTCAATAGTGTTTGTAATCATATAAATAAATTCTCGGGCTGAAATTTGTATAAACAATACACATGTAGGTGAACATTTACCTTCCACGCTTACATCGTCGTATCGGACAGAATCTGTATGTAATTATATGTAAAAATGTCTTTCTTTGTACCATTAACTTGGTTTTATAAGAAATAAAGAATATAATGACAGATTTTCTGCAATGCGTCTGAATGTTTTAGTGGAATCGCGTACGTTTCCTTGTCAATCAAATTTGATGAAAATTAATCCAAGATCCTTATAATTAAAGACAGTCATAGGTGGTAAAGAAAGTTAAACAAACGTGGATTTCATTTTTGTATTATAGTTTTCCAACAAATGACTGTGTGTGTCTTTGATAACATAATGTTTTTCTACTGTTAGTTGGTACATATATATACAGTATAAATTTTTATTTGTAGATATAAATTTGAAACTTTCACTATGGTCAACATGTCTTATTGTTATGTATCTCCTACCCACATAACATAATGGAAAATTTTCTATTCTATAGACAAATACTCTGATTGTATAAAGTGATTTGATCAATGATGGTAAAAAATGAATGCAAGAACTTTGTTACCAAAACACATAAACGTCAGTTGATCTGATCGAATTAATCAATATTGTGTTTATCAAGCCGTATAGAAAATCAACGGGGGTATGTAGGAAATGTCGGAAAATCCAATATCCATCATTCAGTCTTACTAGTTTGTTTAAGTAAGATTCATCCTTCATATCTTTTTGGCGGTAGACAATTCCCTACTGCACTATTGACGTTTTGGGTACAATACATATGCTTTAAAAATATTTTATATTATATTTTCTATAAAATATAGAATTTCGGTTACACACCGCTTACTCTTTTATCGTTTTTTGCTTACGAACATTTACATT